AACACGTTTTTTTCAAATTTTAATGCATTTTCAGGAAGCTTGGGTAATTTTGGGCAATTTTTGCTGAATCTTGGGTAATTTCGACCCAGTCATTGGGTATATCAAAAATTGTGAGTGGTCACGCTGTTTTTAAGACTCAAGGAACGGAATTAGACGTAGGCCTACATAAAATCATCGCACGATTTTTACCTGCCTGCACCGACCAAAAAGGTCAGTGACTGTATACTCTCGAATGCTGAAATGTTTATTTCTTTGACAAATGTCTAGCAAAATAGCATTACAAACAAGTTCTTCTAATATAATACAAATTACAATAGTTATTTATCGTATCCATACTACGTATCCGTATTGTACTGCTGGTGTGTAACGCATACTGCAGGAGCACAAATCAGCATACTCTATCTTGTGTTTCTAGCATCTTTGATTCGCACGCAGACTGATCATGTCACTAATAGCTACCGATGACTGCTACAACAACAGTTGGTTATCAAAAATTTACAGTAAACGACGGCGACTGACTTATAAAGCAATAAGTAGAGCATGCATCGTACACTAACGGAAAATTATTATACTTAGGTTAGATTTAATGCATTCAAAAACCTTCATATAATTTTTCTATAGTGTACTATGCGGAGTTATTATCTGTTACTACGCCTGTTTTATTCATATGATTTTATATTGTATTTCTTACACCATATACTGTAATAGGCCTACTCTCTAAGGTGTGTTCATTTTGACTATTTTTATCAGAGGGTATAATACTAATTATCAGAGGGCATAATTTTTTAGATGTAACATGCATTATTGGTTACTACGCCTGTTTTATTCATATGATTTTATGTTACATTGTACAGGCAGTACTTCTTATATCATAATATAATACTTGGTTAACGCTCTCTAAGATGTGTGTCCATCTTGACTCTATTTAGGTGCCTGCCCCTTTGTTCTATTGTTTTATTTATGTTCTTTGTTTATTACGACGCATGAGCTCGGTAGACTGCTTATTATCTGTTTTTGTCACAGCTTTTCATGATGATGTGTTATTGTCCGAAACATGTCGTATCAATTAAATTTCTACTGAGGCAGATCACAGGGTCACTCTGCCTATGCAGCTTCTTTGATTATATATATATATATATATATATATACATACATTATATATAT